AGTCCAGGAAGCGCTGCACCCGCCACAAAATCCACAAAGCACTGTGCCTGCCAAAATGTCTGCACATCAAGATTCACATCACGCAACCCTGCCAAGGCGATTCGCACCAAGAGCACTTCAAAACAACATCCAGATGCCAAAGGGCAGCTTTTACTCGAGACTTCGTCCGATGTTTGAAAACCAACCACATGTCCAAAGAACAAGGTTCTCTTGCGCCTGCCACGAAAAGTGATCACCAAGTCCGAAAATGCGCACGGTATCATAAGGAGAGCGCAGTCTCGAAGAGCACCTGCTCGGGCCCAGCAGATTCTGCGAGCCTGCGCAGTCGATATGCACTTCGACTTGAGAGAGGAGGGGGTGAACGAAAGGTAGTAGGGAGTCACAAGTAATCCGGGACTTTCCAGACTACCGTCGTGTTTGGCCAGTTTGAAATCTCCAAAAGCCGAAAAAGCCCTTTCCGACACAATCTGTCCAGGTTGTTGGCAACTTTTCGACCATGTTTGAAGCCTAGACACTTCAAAAACCATTGGCTTTTACGAGGTTTTTGGCCGGACAGCTACAGAAAACCCTGTAAATTGCGTGGCTTGAGGCCACTCTTGCAGACTGGAGGAGCTGAAAACACTGGTATTTACGGTGTTTTCTAGCCGTTGACAAAGAGCCGCGCCAGGGTGGAGTTGAAAGGGGGGGCCCCCCCCGGCCTCTAAAATGAAATGTCGGAGGGCGATTCTCAGTGAGATGGGCCTCCCCTCTGGTTATAGCAAAAGGAAAACTCTGATTATCTCGAGGTGAATGAATAGACTGCAAATAGCAGCCAAATAGCCCCCGGTCATCAACAGTTACCGTACGAACCCCTAGTGTGGACACGCTGTTTTGGAAAAAAATGTACAAAATCTTCTAAAATCCTGATGAGGAGCAGTCAATGAGAACAACGTACAGCCATGTCTTCCAGTTGCGGCTTCTCCGCTCGCTTCCCGGCTGAGCATAGCCAACGATCAGGTGCCTGACACCAAGTCATTCATGAATGACTTGGACACCAACATCCAAGAACACTCTTCTTTTCTGTTTCTGTTTTTCTTCAAGCGCGCAGCCCTGCCTCCTTATTTTAATTTCAGTAGGGAAAACCCTCCTAGCAACTTGGACGCTATTACATTGACATATGGACGCGGGAGAGCTCACGCTAATGATTTGGTTCGTAGATATTTAGCGAGGAGACCTTCCAAAGATCCCCTACAAGAATGGAAATAGACAAGTCTACCCAGCCAGGGCCAGGGGATCTCCCAAAAAAGTCTCAGGATGTCTCAAGTCACCCGGGCCGGGTGCACCACCAGCAGAAAAGTGATGCCAGGCTGCTTGGCAAGAACCACGGACAGGAAATACGCATGAGGGATCACCAAGAACACCACCTTAGACTCGAGGACTCTCGCTTGACCACCCAGACCCAACTATATATATATATCCCAAGCACACTTTTGGCCCTTGTAGCATCCTTGCTCCTAGCAGCGATGCCAGGAGCCCCTAGTAGCGTCCTTGTTCCTAGTAGTAAGGCCAGGAGCCCCTAGTAGCGTCCTTGCTCCTAGTGGCGATGCCAGGCCTATATATATATATACATATATGCTTTTGCTGTTGGGAGATTGTCCTTTTGTAGATAAAGCCTCATGGCATTTGGAAGCATTGATTCCAGCTTGAGGTGCGAGAGGAAGCAAAGTCCACCAAACATAGTCCGTTTCCAGGTCTGCCGTTACAAAGGGAATTGTCACCCCGGTCACGCCTCAGCATGCAACAGTGCATTACATCACATGCAATGCGTGAAAAACCCCAGCAAAAGCTTCACATAGCACGTCCGCGCCTTGGGTCAGTGACAGTGGGAGCCTGAGCTGAGTTGACGCATGACAAACGAATATAAGAATTCAGCTGCAGCAGCTGCTTTGGCTGTCGCAAGCTCTCAACAGTATTTGCCAGAGCACAGTAGTGTAATGTGAGAACGGTGAGACGGCACGTTGTACATGATGGCCACACCCGCGGCCACAGAGATCACCACGAAGAGGCCAGCCAAGTAATACCTTGCCGCGACAAATGCGGCGCGCCCGCACGTGTGCACCCCCGCGTGGCCAATTTTCTGTGCCATGCAGTGCGCCGAAATTTGCCAAAGTGCAATACTGCTGCTTGCAAAACTGCCAGCCAGGGCATCATTCGACCAGGTTTTGGACTCTCTCTGCCTCAGTATATGCAAGGAATGCTGCAGGTCAGGTGAATTTCGTCGTGGGGTGCTACGGCATGTGCAACGCAAGTGTGACAACCGCTGTCAAGCACTTGCACTCTAAATCATGCCTGGTTTGAGACAGAGGCCTGGCTGGTCTGCTTTCTTACATCGTCTTTTTGTTCCGTTTGAGTAATCCTCAAATGATCCATCATGGCTACTAATACTGTGGCTGCATGATCCCCCGTGATGGGTTGTTGGCCGCAATGGAATCAGGCGATCTTCACAAAAGGAAAATTGGAGAAAATGGTTGCCGGTGAGGTGATGTGCACTCGACACATGGTCTCATGAGGTGAGTGGGTTGGGTGGGTTTCCACACCTGAAGGCTATGGAGAACGCTCTATCGGCCGCTGGAGTTCTTGCCCACTTGGACAGATTTGGAAAGCCCACTTGGGCAGATGTGGGTCCACAGATTCCACATCTCCACCAATCAAAGGTCCGAAATGGAACTGTCGAAAACCCAAAGCGCCAATCCTGAAGAGAAAGGCAGCATTGGCCCTTTTCAAGCTGTCTCGCACGTTGCCAAGCACATACTCTTGACTTGGGGGTTTGACTCGAAACGCAGCGCTCCATTTCTGGACCAACAGTGTACCCTTCCCTTTTGACAAGAAGCCTTCTGGCAGAGGGTGTACCGAGTGTGCAACGCTGACACTCTTCAATGGCCGTACAAATGACCCCTTCTCCAATGTTACGTGTGGCTCGATAGTAGCACCATAGCCGACCTTAGGCGTGTGTTAGGGCGTCAAAACAGGTGTTAGAAGAAAAAACACAAACACTTTGGCATCAACTGGCTGAATAACTATACTTCTGGCTGAATAACTCCAGAGTGAATGTTTCACACTCTCTGAGTCTGGCCACTCCTACTGGCAATGGCCTCCAACCTACTAGCGATGGCCTCGAACCTACTAGCGATGTCCTTCAACCTACAAGAGGGCCTCCAAGCTAGTAGCGATGGCCTCCAACCTACTAGCGATGGCCTCCAACCTAGAAGCAATGCCTTCAACCTAGTAGCGATGGCTGCCAACCCACTAGCGATGGCTTCCAACCTAGAAGCAATGGCCTCCAACCGTTACTAGCGATGGCCTCGAACCTACTAACGATGGCCTCCAACCTAGAAGCAATGGCCTCCAACCTACTAGCGATGGCCTCGAACCTACCAGCGATGGCCTTCAACCTAGTAGCAATGGCTGCCAACCTACTAGCGATGGCCTCCAACCTAGAAGCAATGGCCACCAACCGTTACTAGCGATGGCCTCGACCCTACTAATGATGGCCTCCAACCTACTAGCGATGGCCTCCAACCTACTAGCGATGGCCTCCAACCTACTAGCGATGGCCTCGAACCTAATAGCGATGGCCTCGAACCTACTAACGATGGCCTCCAACCTAGAAGAGATGGCCTCCAACCCAGAAGCAATGGCCTCCAACCTACTAGCGATGGCCTCGAACCTACTAGCGATCGCCTCCAACCTAGAAGAGATGGCCTCCAACCTAGTGGCGATGGCCTCCAACCTAATAGCAATGGCTTCAACCTGATAGCAATGGCCTCCAACCTAGTTGCGATGGCCTCCAACCTACAAGAGATGTAGAAGAGATGGCCTCCAACCTGGCGGCTCAATTGAAATCACCTCAATCAATCAAGACATATGCTTGAGAACTACATAAACTTTTAGCAAGACACGAAGCACCCCTTGTTGATCTTGATCTTCCCCAGAAGGACATACCTTGATCTCGCCAAAAGAAAACAGCACAAACTTTCATATTCGGTCACCTTATTTCACCAGAACAAGTGCCTTACTAGTAGGAACAAGAAGCTACTAGGAACAAGTGCATCGCTTCTAGTAACAAGTGC